GGGGTGGAAGGGTGCCGTGGTTGCTTTGGAGGAGTGTGGATTATGGGAGGTGTGTTCTGGGGTTGGAGAGGGTTTTGCTTACATTGTGACTGGGGGGTTTATTGGAGGGTGAGTTTCGTTAGAGCAGTACAATGTAAGAACGTCAGGGCAAGCAATGTGGCAGGATACGACCGTGGCTTCCTCGTTAAACAATAAATCTAATATTCGTATGTACTCTATTTCAACACTGCTTTCATCTATCTTCTAACTCCATCGGATCGTGCGGGTCAGAAGACGGTGCCGCTCCTTCCTGATGGTCGCTGCCAGCCGTAGTGGATGGTCGGGACTCCGGCCTACGAGAACCCAGGCGTATCCGTGAAGCTCGCTTCCAAGAGAACAACGACCCTACCTGCTGCATCCAGGTCCACAATCGTTCCTCTAGTGTATCGCTCGCGCGAGAATTCGATGCTCCTCCTAGGGAGAGCTGTGGGGGGCTGGTCGCTGCGAGGGCCTGCTCTTCGGCCTCGACCTTGAACTGGTATTTGAGGCAGTCCTTGACGGTGACCAGGCCCGTAAGGCGGCCGCGGTGTTCAACCACAATGACGCGCGGGCCCATCTTCTTGAAGATCTCCATCACGGTCTCGAGGGGGAGCCGGGGGTGAACCGTCAGCGGGGTGTGATCGGCGTATCGGCTCAGGTCCACAATGCTTGCACCGGCGTTTGAGTGAATGTCGTCAAAGGTTTCGGGCGCCAGGTACTGGGAAGCGGAGGTAGAAGCGGCCGCCGCCGCTCGGCGAGCGATAGCGGCTTCCGCGGCCTCTTTGGTGAACACACATGTCGCATTGGGAGAGAGCAGGCCCTCGGCTTTGGCACGGTCAATCCCGTATCGCAGCTCCGTACGGCCAATGTATCCCACTAGTGTCTTGTTTGTCCGGTTCTCGACAATGGGAAAGCCTTGGAATTTATTGTCATTCAGGAGATGCTCCGCTTCGCGAACAGGGAATTCGGCTGCGGGGAGGGAAACTGGATCTGCTGTCATGGCTTGGGACACAGGCACATTGAAAACATGGTCCTCCTTAGTGTCAAGGAAGGGGAATCCATTGGCCCAAATCATGCGATCTGCGATGCCACCATTTCCGAAGCAATCACCCACGGCCTTGGTGACTCCGACTACAATCTTCTTTACGTTAGCTAAAGCCCAAGTCGTACATGCGAAAAACTCACCATGGTTGGAAGGATGTAGTTCAGCGCGCCTGTTAATTCGAACATGATGACAGTCACTGAGATAGTCAAATGCATGATACCACTCAGAGCTGCTCCTGCTCCTAAGAACGCGTATGTACCCGGCGTGATGCATGGGATGTCAGGTTCACAGGACGCGAAGAATTGAGATTTGGGGTACGTCTCATGCAAAGCTTGCACCAAGATTCCGACAAAGCGGCCAAATGATGCCCCGATGGCCATTGAAGGCACAAAGATACCGGCGGGCACTTTGCAGCCATACGAGATGATAACCAAAAAGATACGAAGGATTGTAGCGATGGCCAGAGACCCCACCATTGTCCACCGGTTCTTGGCCCTGTTCCTAAGTCAACAACAAGTAAAGGCAAACAAGATTCAAGACTCACTCGCAGAGACCATTGTAGTCATGCCCACCCTCGCATTCACGGAACAGAATTTCCATCATTTCCGTCATGTTGATCCTCAAAAACATGTTAGGGTAGCAGAGAACAGCCGTCAAGCCTGCAAGAATGACCGATTCCAAGACCGCATGCCGCGACAGATACTTCTTCCTAAAGCCTTGGACCCGGAGGTTCCACTTGATAACAAGTGCCCCGTACAGCCCACCAAAAACGCCAATCAAGACGAAAAAGATCAATTCGAAGAAGTGCCAGGTTCGGTCATAATGCACCTGGAACATGACTAGCTGTCCAGTTCGGAAGGGGTTCATCATCTGCCAGCCAAGTCAGCGGAACCGGACCGCCTTCGTCTGAGAGCTGTGGAATACATACCGCCAACACTCCTGTGGCCACCAAGGCACAGAAATAACTGCGCCAGAGGGTCTTCAGCGGGAAATAATTCGCTACCTCCTATGCATTGTAAGTAGACGACGCTTTCTGCCAAGTCGAGAGTCTTACCTCAAGAGAGAAAAGAACGCCGCCAATCGGACTACCGAACGCAACTGCCACACCCGCCGCCGCAGTCGCTGTCAACACTTCCCTTGTCTTCGAGGCATTTCGTTTGTATTTCTCAAAGAAGCGCGAGATGACATTGCCGGCACAAACGGCAAAGTGAACACTGGGCCCCTCCTTGCCCACGGACAGACCGGATGCGATAGCCAACGGAAGTGCAATTGACTTGATCAACAGTGTCCATGCCCCCAAAAAGCCCTTCATAACAAACCCTGCAATGATACATTTGATTTCGGAGATGCCGGAGCCTGCGGCGTACGGTGCAAACGACTTGACAAGACTCGCGGCGACGAAGGCGAACAGTACCTAGAGGCAATCTTCAGCGACGCTCCAACTCCAAACACGAGTGCAATAAGGCCAACATACCGCATAGAAGATGTAGATGATGTAGTTCACAAGCGAAAAGGACGTCCATGGCTTCCACTCGGGACAACCTGTAGTAGGAATGAGCTCACAATGGCCGATGCGACATGGCCGACAGTAGCGACAGCGTACCTCCCTCCGCACCCCAGCAACAAAACTGCTCATTGAGATAGAACGCAGTCGTACAACGGCCCAATTTGATATCGGACAACCACTCCGTGATGATGTTCAGCAAGGCCGAGATCAAGCCGATCACCGCGCCGACGATTGTAATCACGACCCAAGCTTGCCCAGCGTTGTAAGATTCGCGGACCTTGCGTCTCCAGCCAAAAGTGCCTTCTTGGTCCCAGAAGCCAAAGCCGTCTCGTCGTTTCGCGCGACGTCGTGATTGTTCGTGGATCGCATCCTGGACCCAGTCGATGGTGGTGAAGTCCTCGTATCGCTTGATCTCGCTGATCTCCTCGGTGATGGCGGGGGCATGGCCGTTGGCCGTGGACGGGCGTTCGTCGACGGGTGATGATAGAACAGATAAGCCTGACAGCCTCCTCCAGTTCCGCCGCTCAGCCAGGACTGAGGGTGGACGGGCCGAGGTGGATGAGGCAGGTATGGAGTTCATTCCATCGGTTGAGTCGGCGACAAAAGCATGCGCATGGTCTGGCCTTGGCGTAGATCGGAGATGATTGCGACAGTCGCGGATGGGGAGGAAAGCTGGAAGCTGAGAGGAGCTCCGACTGCTCCGTAGATGCGCCGCCGCCCACGTGAGAAGACGATAACAAAATGGAATTCCGCTTTGGGGCACTATTCAACTTGCGAAGCAAGCGTACAGAACAATAATTAAGAATTCTAGTGTTGTACATTGCCAGGGCTACATGTTTCTCGAACTGTTGCAGAGACGCGAGTTCATAAGCATACCGAAAACAGAACCAAGTGCGTTCTTCTCTATTGAGGATCATTCTTGGAGATTGGACCAAATTTCCACTTCCGCCACGCGCGGTGGGTTTCAAGGCCCGCGCGTCGCTATCGTCAACCCACTCCGCCTCCGCGGACCACTTTCTCAACATCAGCTCGCACAAACTTATGCCGATCTATATAATTCTTCTCTGAAACTTCAAATTATACCATCAAACTGCTGATTGCTGTCATCCTGAGTGGATATTCTCGACGCGCCTGGACCATGCCTCCCAAAGACAAGTCTGCGGCCGAGTCTTCGGCCTCCCAAGAGATCACCGGCCAGAGCGCTCTTCCCAGTATGTGGACAGGGCATCTTTCCAGCTGGCTTCGACTGACCATACTCGGCAGTTACGCGAATCAAAAAGATCATTCAACTCGACGAAGATATTGTTCAGTGCTCGAGTAACGCTACGTTCGTTATTGCTATGGCTACGGTTCGTGCTTTGTCTTTTCTCTCGGCGGTCTCAGGAAAGCACCTTCGGCTCACATATTCTCCCATGTCATGCAGGAAATGTTCATCCAATACCTCACCGAACAAGGCCATAATGTTATCAAGTCGGAACGGAAACCGCGCAAAACGATTCAATACAAGGACCTCGGTTAGTAGCAGATAAGATCCTGTCCCAAATACAGTGCAACAGACTCATGGTTCTGGCTATAGCTACGGCGGTGTCGCGCATTGACAACCTCGAATTCCTGTCCGACGTGATCCCCAAGACAACAACGTACAAGCAATTCAAAGAGAAGCGGGCCAAGGAGGCGAGTAGGGAAGCCGGATACGAAAAGGGACAGCGCACCTTGAACGGCAGCATACCTCCAGCGCCAGAAGGAAAGCCCGAGGCAGGCAACGAAGAGGCTCAACCGGGTTCAGACGACAAACTATCAAGGAGTTCTCGACCACCAACGGTGACCATGATGGTGGATCGAACGGTAGAGGCACCGACGGATGATGAAGATGTGGAGATGGCCGACCAGTGACTGCGACACATTATCACAATCTGACGGAGCATTGCATGGCAATGGGGAGTTCTTTGGGGGTCCGCTTGGTTTCAAAATTGTTTGATTATTGTTTTCTTTTTTTTTTTCTCTCTTCGTCATGGGTCCAAAGCAATCGGACCTCTTCATTTGGTCTCTGGTCAACCGCATTGGGAATCTGGATAATAGCATTGGACGGGACGGGATCGGGACGGACAGGGTGACAACTAATAACATAGCACCCGAGTCCAGCGCAGTGCAACCTGGGTCAAGCATTGTATATATTTACTATTGAATGAACGGCGCTTGTGAAGCATTGTCCAACAATGTGTAATAATACATTTCATCATGCCGTACATAGATACCAATGATTAGATTGGAAAGAAGATAATCATCATGTATCATGGATGGCAGGCAATAACTTACGTCAGGTGAGATTCTGACTAAGACGGGTGCTGCGAGCCAATGAAATGAGCCGTGATTCCGATCGCTTGCCGTAGCGAAAGCTCTGGTTCGACTTTCCGTATGAGTGCCGGGCCTCCGACTTCAACCTCCAACCTCAAGGAAAATCAAATCCTCCTCCGATCTCCTCCCCGGATATCTCTCTTTCCTCCCCCCCTCCACTCCCCACCCACCACTTCCTTAGCGGTTCCCTTCCCTTTCTTCGCAATTGACCGTGCAATTGCCTCCTTTCGCCATGTCTCTCGCCTCCGCTTCCAACTCCGTCCTGCGCGCCTGCGCTCGGCAACAACTCACCACTTCTCGCGCCGCCATCGCCTCCTGCCAGCAGCGGAGGGGAGTCTCCAATGCCAGATCCAGCTTCGCCAGCCCCTTCACCCCCGCCGCCGACTATGACCAGACCGTGAAGATCCCCGACTTCAGCAAATACTCCTCCAAGAAGGGCCCCCGCTCCAACCAGGTCTTCTCCTACTTCATGGCTGGTTCCCTCGGTCTGGCCTCTGCCGTCGGTGCTAAGGCTACCGTTCAGGGTAGGTGACTCCGACTCTTCTCAATGTTTCGCATATGAGCTTGGGCTTGCATGGGAGGACGGTGCACAATGACTGGAGAAAACAAACGACCATCGATGGAATTCATGGGCTGCCTTGCCTTGCCGCTCCGATCATTATCGCTGACGTGGGTTCATATCAATAGACTTCCTGGTCAACATGTCCGCCTCTGCCGACGTCCTCGCTCAGGCTAAGGTTGAGATCGGTCTCGCTGCTATCCCTGAGGGCAAGAACGTATGTCCCCCAGTCCTCTCTCACCCGGCCGGGTTCGCCCTCGTGCGATTATGAGATCTGACCCTTGTTCCCCCCGCATACAGGTTATTATCAAGTGGCGTGGAAAGCCCGTCTTCATCCGTCACCGTACCCAGGATGAGATCGAGGAGGCCCAGAAGACTGAGTGGCAGTCTCTCCGTGACCCCCAGGCTGATGAGGACCGTGTCCAGAAGGCTGAGTGGCTTGTCATGCTTGGTATGTGCATCCCGTGCTGCCTGCCAACCTCAGCTTCAATCACTAACCTCGCTCTTCCGTCTAGGTGTCTGCACCCACTTGGGTTGTGTCCCCATCGGTGAATCCGGTGATTTTGGCGGCTGGTTCTGCCCCTGCCACGGTTCCCACTACGACATTTCCGGCCGTATAAGAAAGGGCCCCGCTCCCCTCAACCTCGAGGTTCCCCAGTACAACTTCCCCTCCGAGGACACCCTCGTCATCGGTTAAACGGTACCCCGACCCAAAATCGAAACTTCATGTTGCAATTGAGGGGGGAAGTGCGCTTTTCGCCGGCATAGAAAGAGCAGGCTAGCCAAGCAACCCTTCTTTTATAGCGCCAGGGAAGGGATGACGGAGAAGGTTTGTGTGTATGTACGCGTGTTGTTGTTGTGTCTGTATGTGCCTGTGCTTTAGATGAAATCCTCTTTTTTCTTATCTTTTTTTTTTGTTCTCTCCATCTTTTGTCAAGATATAAAGAGACCTTGTTTTAATATGGGATCCCGATAAAAACTGAGCCTCTTGTTTCTTTTGTCATCCTATTCGTCTCCATGACATTCACCTTTACAATTCGCCGCTCACTTGCCTTGGACCTCTAGAGGTTCCAGGTTTGAGTTTCCCTCGGAGCTCTGAACGGCCCACTGATTGATACCTGTGTGCCGTTCTCGGTCGTGGCTTTCTAGTCCTCTGTGCTAAACCCGCCATTCTCGATAGACAAAACAAGAAACATAACCACAGTTACAGCTTCACTAAACCCTATATTCCCCCACCTCCGCGATATTTCAATTCGTTGTTGATACAGAAAAGATGGTCATCGCTTTATTTATGTGTTGGGGGGCCTTTATACAAATACATACAGGGACGTTTCCTGTTCCCGCCCAGGAAAACAGAAAATCAATGCTTATGACATGAAGATACACGAGGAAGAACGTCCATTTCAGCACAGTTGCACCGGTTTTCTCACTGTGGACGAATGAAAAACGCTAGCAGCCCGATGACAGCGGCACCAGCGGCAGCGCTCTGGATGGCAAGGATCGAGTGATCCCGCTGGGTCATGGTGATCTGGCGATCACTGAAGAGGTCTCGGAGATAGCGACGCGAGGATGCGAGGAGGGTGGCGTAAGGAGGGATGCGAGAGTAGTGGATCTTGCAGGTCTGGAGGACGTTTTGTAGTTTGTTGTTTGAAGCGGGGATTGCTGAGGCGGTTGTTGTTTCGGCCTGGGTTTCGGTCTCGGGCGTTACCGGAGCGGACGCCGGGACGGGGGTCTCTTGCTCGTTCGGGATAGCTTCGCTGGCTGCAATGGCGGTGGCGGCCTCCTCTGACGAGGCGACTGCTGGGGTTGCGGTGGGTTCGGCGGCGGCGGCGGCAGCAGCAGCAGCAGCAGCAGACTCAGCTTCCGCCCTGTTAGCCGAGGCCGAGGCCATCTGCTGGGAGAACTCGGTCTGTAGATTCAGAATCTGCGCCTGGTTCAGGGTCTTTTCCTTCTCGATGGCCTCGATGACCTTCTCCTCGAAGCCCTTGACCAGCCGCTTGCGGCGCCAGGGCTCCACGGCGATCTGGAAGATCAGGAACAGGAGCACGTTGACCCCCATCAGGCCCCAGGTGCCCCAGGTGCTCATCCGGCGGATCTTGTCCGACCAGACCTGCTCCTCGTGGTAGCGCGACAGGATGCTCTTGTTCAGCTGGGCGGCGGCCTCTTCGGCCTCGTGCTCGGCCGCGGTCAGCGCCTGCTGCGCCTCGTTCTCGGCCACTTCGTTGGTGTGGTCGTTGCGGTAGAGATGCGTGAACCGCTCCAGGTCGGCGGTAGACCACGCGTGCTTGCGCTGCAGGAGCTCGTTGACCTCGCGCTGCGAGGTCGATCGGTTGTTGATCGCGGCGGCGTAGGCGTCCTTGGCGGTGCGGACTTGCAGGCGGGCGGCGCGAAGTCGTTCCTCTGTTGTACACGAAAGTGAGATTAGAATCTTTGGTCTAGATGGCTTTGGGTGGTGATGGTGGGGGGGGTCTCATGTCCAGAAGACTGTACAGTAGCTCTCGTACCTTGGAATTGGATGTCCTTCTTCAATGCCTCAATCGCGGAGTAGCCCGTCAGGTCGTTCAGTCGCTGCCCAGCCACGAAGATGTTCGATTGGAGGTTGTCCATCACGACGCTGAATTGTTTGGCGAATTGCGACCGTCGGTTCTCTAAGTAGGACGGAAGACCCCCGGGCTGCGATCCAGATCCCGCGGCGTCGGCGCCAGCATCTTCTTCTTTCTTTCCTTCCCGCTCCGCTGCTTCAGGCACGGCTGTCGTTGACGTCTGTTCCTCCGCAGGAGCAGCAGCCGCGGCGGCGGCGGGACTGTCTCTCCCCGCATCCGACTCAACATGTGGGTTCTGTTCAGGGATAGCTGACGGCGGCGGTGACGGTGCCGGTGCCGGGGTGTCTTGGGGGGGAGGGGCTCCCAGGATAATCACATCTTGCTTCTTCTCCGGTTCATTCGACGAGTACAGTGAGGTTTGTGTCCGGAATCGACATCGCAGGCAGGTCGAGAAGCTCCGGGGGGTTGTCTCTCGGCCATAATAAAGAGCCTGCGGGACACCGGCGGGCAGCAGTAGTAGCAGCGGTCTTCGCACCGGGCGGGAGGTGGTCGTACGGGTCAAACCGTGGACGCTGGACCGGATTGACTGCCTGAGCAGCAATGGCATGGACTGCATGACCGCTGCTGCTAAGGCTAACAACAGGAGGCCAATGCAGATGCTGTATCGTCGTCGGCGGCGTCGTTGTTGTCGTTTGCTCGGAGGTCGGACGAGTCACGACTCGGTTGAGATTCATTCCTCAGGCTGGTCGGCTGGTCGGCCGGCAGCCGGAAAAGAAGGCGGTCATGCGGAAACGCCGCGCTTCTGCGGGCTTCTGGTGGACTCCCCCTCTACTAACCTACTTACTAGTGGATTGTGCGGTGAGAGAGAGCTTTTTTGGTGGGGGGATTTCTTGGTAGAACAATAGTGGTCTATACCCCTACCTATGGCTACCTTAAAAGCTAATACTAATGTTATTCTCCTGGTTTATCTTCACAACAGCACATTAAAGAGCCAGATCAGCGAGCGGCCCGCCCCCCCCCCCCCCCCCCCCCCCCCCCCCGAGACGGGTTCGAAAGTCAGTGACCGCGCTGATCAAAGACAGTTAAGCAAATACATAATAGCACATTTGTCATTATCCATTACCATTCGTTGTAAGCAGGTGATCGTAGCTTGCGGTTCATAAGGCCTGGCGAACAGAACAACAGTATGTGGGACTGTGGGAACAATCCTTGTACTGGTCTTTCCCTGGGAGCAGCAACAGCAGACAGCAAGTTGCGAAGCAACTGCGTTGTCCTCGTTTCAATCAGGCTTGACCTGTTTGATCTTGTACTTTGTGGTCCCCCTTCACTGCTTCGGCGTACGTGGGCGGTGGCCGCGCATCGGCGTGTTCTCGGCTGCTGCTACCGCCGCCGCCGCTTCCAGAAGCGTGTTCGTGCTGTTGGGAAGGTGCGGGATGTTGCTGCTTAGGCTGAGCGTTCGCCGCGTGGGGTTGTTGCGGAGGCATGGTACCATAGCCACGCTGGGATGGGTGTTGAATGGGTTGGTGGGAGACATAGTAATATGTGACGCGACCGTTCTCGGCGTCGCCTCTGTGATTCCCGGGAATGGGCGCATAGCTGGGGTCATCGTAGTCCGGCTCGGGATACTTGAGAATGATGTACCAGGCGTGCAGCAGGCCCGGGATATAGGCGAGACAGCAGAGAGCAAGGTTGATGATCGAGTCAGCCGTACAGATGCCTACTTTGATCCACACTGCACACGGTGTTAGTTCTTGATCTGCAGTTAGCACGGAGTTCAAGACAAGGTCTCTGGCTCACCCGCAACTGGAGGGAAGAAAATGGCGAGAATCGCTAGAAAGATGTCTGAACCACACATGGTCGCAGGTCGGTCGCAATGGTAGAGTCACTGGTGATGGGATAAATGCCTGCCTGCAAGTGGTGTTGTATGTAGCTAGAGAGGACTACCTCGGATGCTGGATGGTGGATCAGAGTCAAATGTGTATTGGAAATCAGTGGTGGAGTGATGGCAGGATGGATGGATGCCTGCTGCAGGCTCACGATCAGATGACGTCGTCCATGCCGACTCAATCACCTGACATGGCGGGCAGTTCTCAATGTTGTTGTTGTTTAACAGTCAGCGTCAGCCTTCCACAGCGGCATTAACAACATTCACTAATATCACCATATTGTACTCTACCACTAACAATCTGACTTGCTCGACAGTGAAAGCATGGGACGTATCCATTCATTTGTGATACTACACCTCTCTTGTCAACTGGTACTAATCATACTCCTAGTCCATAGTCACTGACTATAGCCTAATCAGTCATGAGAGATGCTTCTTCATGTCGCACAATATGGGAGATGGACCGTTGGTTATATGATATGGATGATAGTTTTGCGTTGTATAAATGATCCTTTTCTTCACCTTACTCGCGGGCGCGAAAAGGAATAAGTTTCGGGCCCGCCGCGGCGAGGTACATATATCCAGTTTTGCTTTTGCACATGGAAAAGGACCCTCTGCCTCTCGAGGATAAGGAGTAGATATGGTATCGTCAACAAGTAACCTATATCAGAAAGCCAGCGACGCTACAACCCAGAAAATCAGGTCTTTCCCTTGTGATAACAGCAGTCTGCCCAAAGCAGGGCGTCACCATCGCCTTAAGGCAGATTCGGGGCCGAGCTCTGTTGTTGTGGCGGGGACTCAAAGACCCGCCTCGATAAATCTAGAGTTCACAACATGTAGTAACATGTCGGGAGAATTACCCGACATCATTCCTTGTTATTGGAGTCTTTAACTTTCCACTGTTGGGTCTTACTTTGAATACGAGATTCGGGTACATCTGCGGAATATATGGAGTATTTTTCGAGGCATCTCATGGCGGTCTGAATCTGCTCGCATGCAACTGTCATCTGGAACCAAGCATAGCACTGCACGATCCGAAAATCACGGTTTACAGCCACCTTTATCCCAGACTGAGACAAGACTCAATTCAAGACAATGGGCTCTCAGGTGACACCAAGCTCCTTGCATTCTTTAAGCCTACTCGTCTATGGTTTAATTGATCATAAACCGCTATATGAGACGCAAGGGTGGTGGGGTTAGGTGTTCGCGGAAGGTCGAATAGTGCCGACATGGTTGGCGGTCTCTGGCTGGAACGGCTATACTGCCATCAATTGGCCGGGGATTGAAGGCTGGACTGCATAGCCAAAAGTTCACCTAGCAAAGAAACTACCTTACGTGGTGAAATTGAGGAAGCAGATCGTGGACGAATGTCTGTCGATGTCATGACTTGGGTTGTGTGAGCTATCGCAAATGGCGATCGGCCCAACAGCGGCAGTGTCAAGTAGCCTAGCATTCCTAGTGGCTGACGGACAATTAGCAATCGAACCTGAAACAGTCTAATGAGCTCCCGGGATCATTTGAATAGATGTATATTGTCATGTCTTTATCAGTTGAACCGAGGACATCATCAATCAGCGATCATAGCCAGGTCAAATGGTGGAAAGGTAATATACATCCTCCGTAAGTGATAGATCAGTATGGAGGCTTCCATATCCGACTCGCCGAGTTTCGAACCCCGGGCCCAAAAGGGGGCCTTCCATCTTAGGGCTAGAGTAATACTTATCTAGCGTACCACAGGTTGGATTTCTGGTTCTGGCTTCGTTTCCGTGTTTGCAGTCCCACTCCCTACTGAATTGTGCTTCAGGTACGGATAATACTTCGTAGCACCTTAGTCAATAAATGCCTGGCTACCAGGGTGTGGAACGCCATGCATCCCGCGTGCTGGCTCAACCCAGAGTTGTAGGCAGGAACACTTCATCAGCAAGGCGGATCATCAGGTTGACTGTAAATGCCCATCTCAGTCCATGCTTCTGGCACTAACAGCCTCACAAGGTCGAGGTGTGCCACGTCAGTTGGGAACAATACCGCCAGTGACTTGCTATGCATCACAGAACCTTCCTGACCATCCGGATAATAAAGTTTGCGGTTCCTGCATCGGTCTTCTCTTTTCTCTTCTCTCTCAATTTTCTGCTCGCATCTTGACTTTTAGGCTTTTGTCGAGCGTCTGAAACGAGCTGTATACGGTCACTTAAATTCCGGTGGTCTCTCAAACCCTGAGACGACAAATGGTGCGGACTGAGTGCGCACTCGAAATTATAGGATACGCCGAGGATCCTTGCAGTCAAGACTCAAAAGTATGTGTTCTGCGATTGTTCTCTGTCTGGAATCTGGAAGCCGGTGATGGGTTCGATCTACCTCGAAGCTCACTTCCGGATAGCCTGTGGAGCTCGAAGCTGGGGGACCTCTCGACCTGATTCTGATTCGATAGGAACCTGCTCCCTGCCAGCCCGACTAACTCGATCGGTCACAGAAATTGTTTTGTTCCTGGATGTGGAGGAACTGAACTGCAGCGCTTGTGCTGTGGATGCAGGCTGAATTGAGAAGACGAAGACGCCGGCTGCTTTCGCGAACCGCCCGCGCCAGAACCCCCTTATTGACCTAGTAGTCTATTGACTCTGTCAGTTTCCCAACTCCCAATAGGTTGGTAGTTGCACTTCCTGAATTCTTCATATCCTGCACACTCTCTTTCGTTCGAACTTCAATTACTGTTGCCCTCTTTTCTATCGTATATCGATGGAAGGCCTCTAGCTATCTTAAGTGTGACGAGCGACTTTTGTTTTCCCCCAGCGGCAGTCGAGTAAGATTTCCGGGAGGGGAAAGCACGGCCACCAGCTAGCCTGGAGGTCCAAATCAGCTCTTGACCCGTGCTTGCCTTCTTACTTCGTTACATCCACGCTTTGTCTTCCAATTACCTTTTCTCATCAATTCAATTCTCTCATTTATGACACTCTCCTCTCTGGATGACCCCAATTGACCCGTTAGCCTCTGGATTCTAGTCGCTCGTTTGACCGCCCGCTTTTGAGGCAGATTGGGTCTAGCCCATTTGTCTTCGTGCTACCAATTTTACTTCCCCAGTCTCCGCAAATCCCCGCGTTTCTTTAGTCGAGACTTCACTTACTGCAAGCGCCCTAGTCTGAAGTCTGCGTGCGCATCGAAAGTCATCATCAAGTCGGACGATCTCAACCAAGTTCAGCTCTGACGGCGTGCAACAGGAAGCGACGAGAGAATCATGGGGCGCGATTGCTGATATACTGCCCCTCAAGACGAAATCGCGAACTGGATTTGAGTCTGTCATACGCTTTCTAAACACTACACCATCCCTGTATACCTACAGGAGAAGTCAGCTGGGTGCTGCAATCATGTCCAGCACATGCATCTCACTCTCGGGTTCGACCCAATGTCCCGCGTTCAATACCTCCTCTATATCAACCAACTCGAGTCTCTATACGGATTTGTATGTATGCCCAGCTGTTATATGAAGACCAGTGACATGCTAAACGCTCCTTAGTCCATTCATGCAGTTTGTCTCCAACTTGACGCAGTTCGACCGGGAGCTGAATACCTATGTTATGCAGTCTTTTGTGAAGTCGAAGTGAGCCTGCCCAGCCCCCTGTGATACCTAATCAAATTCTCACGAGTTCCTCTCTCGGCAGATACGTGGACTATCTAGGATGCGAAGGTGCCAACCTCACCGACACTAGTGATTATTATGCCCGCTACACCACGAGTGTGATTTGCAGTAGCTTGGTCCAAAGCTCAAAAGACGACTGCAATCTCTCCGTCCAGGATTCGAGACCGCTTTGCGCTGATGCCTGCGTTAGACTCTCAGTTGACTATGACATAATATTTTCATACTAACATAGAATAGGCCCAGATGGCTGAAAGCGAAGAGGCCATAATTACCGACTCCGACCTCTGTCCTGAAAGGGCTGATGACTACATGGCCCAGATTCGGTCCGACTTCACCATTTGCGCTCTTCCTGCCGACTCGATCACTGTGAGCTGCGTTGTGGGAGCTGACAACGAGCCGGAGAATTGTGGATTTCGGTCTAATCTCTTGGGGCTGTGTGCGCATTGCAAATCGAGCTCGACCAACACCACCGACTCCTGCTGCGAAAGCGCAGGAGCAACCACTCGATGCTCGAATGTCACCGTTCCTTCTTCAACGATAACACCGATTTTTACGTCGACGTCAACATCAAATTCAACAGCTGGTGCTTCGGATGGCTTATCTGGCGGAGAAATTGCGGGTATTGTGATAGGATCCGTGGCGGGGCTTGCTTTACTGGCTGCCCTCGCCCTACTCGCTTTAATCTGCTTGCGCCGCAAGCGCAAGGCGCGGGATGAAAGCGGTCTCAACCAACCGAATCCGCAACGGAAGGGGTCTCCATCAATGCAACAGGCCCAGGTGAATAATGGCTATGCTGCCATTCCTGGAGGACGAGTCGCTCGAATGTCTGCTTTGCGCGAGGTACCCAGCTCATCACCGGCACGCTCCCGCATTTCGGCCGCCTTATTTGGGGGCGGAAAGTACAGCGACTCTTCCGACTCAGAGTATGGTGCAAGCCCCGGTGCTATGTCCAAGAAAATACCTCCAACAACTGGCAAGCGTCACGGATCGCTATCTAGCAATTCGGCATTGGCTGGTATGGGTACTGATAGCTCACCGCGCTCAATGGGAGCTGGACACTACTCGTCACCTGAAAACGTGACAAGCGGACACTCGGAGCAATTATCTTCTTTCCAGGACTATTATTCGCCGGATGAGATACATCCCGGTGATAAGGTGGCCGTACTATGGGCATATCAACCTCGAGCAGGAGATGAATTCGCACTGGACCGAGGCGAGATGCTGAAGGTGATCGGCATATGGGATGACGGATGGGCTACCGGCGTTCGCATTCCGGAGAGCGTTGATGAACATGATGCTAGACACCGTGAGCAGCGCGATAGCGGTGTCTCGAATGGCACACAACGGCCGACTCCTTCTCCGCCTCCGTTAGGAGAGATCAAGGCATTTCCACTAGTCTGCGTATGCCTTCCGCAACATTGGCGCAAAATCATCGACGGCGGCCACGCGGAAGAGGATTGACGAGACTTCAAAGCTATTGGTCTGGTCCAAGTGCGCAGCCTCATAGGTCTGTGCTACTTCTGGCTTGGTCTTCCCTGCACGCTTGATTTAGGGTTGCTGTTTACAGAGCGTGTTCTGCGACTAGCCCGACTTCCCCAAACAACATGAGCCACGGACTTGACAACTATGATTCCTCACACATGGCTTACCTGCTTCAACTTCCGGGCACGCTTCATGAAGATTTAAACCACAGACTTAATTTTCTCAGGCCTTGCTGGATCGCACTGTTAAGTTGACGACGTTTCATGAGACGATCTGATTTTATGCCCTTCCAACTACTTTCTTTTCGATCATCAAATTCTTATATACCCAGTTATTAAGCATGTGGTGCAGTTCTTGTATTTAGACACGATTTGCATCTCTATACTTCAGCGTCTAGAGTTTGGACAGATCTTATGTCCTTACGCACTCCTATCTTACGCATGATGCGACGTCGCACAGCATCTATTTATCTAGTTATTCACAGAAATCAGATTATCATGTAGGCATATACACTGTGGAAAAATGGAACAATAACAATCTCATCATTGTTTACAGTCGCATTGTGTCTTCGAGCGACGGCTGTCCAGGGTAGATGCTAGGTACGTAACTAAGTATGGAGTTTGCAGCCTTACCAAGACCGGACTGACGTGATATCACTGGGCTAGCCGGGGCTAGTTCCATGGTTAGCCACCCATCAACAGCGGTTTACTCCGGTGCGAAAACAAGATTCATTTTGGTTACAGCTCCGAGAATAGAACGAGGGACCAACTGCGGTCAGTCGACTGTGATTAGGCTACCCAAGCGTTATGGCTTTCTGTGAGCTCTCCATTGACGATAGATAGTGTAGGTATGAGATTTCTGGTGACTAAATGAGGACCCGGTCTGCCAGGGCTGCAGGCACGAGGCTGCAGACGATGCGCATCATGCGGGATGTTGCTGCTGCCGCTGATAATGGTGATGGTGGTGGTGGTGGTAGTGGTGATGGCTGCCCATGCTATAATAATACAGCACTAGTCACTGGGGTATTCCACCTTCCCTTCACCCTAGGTAGCAACTTAACTAGTAGGTAGAGTCACTGCCCCTCCGTCATCGCCCAGCAAATTCAGGGGGAAGAGTGGAAAGAGAAAATGGCGGCTGGTGGTGCGATGGGACGAATCACGTGGCAGGACCCCCACTGCCCGCCCGCCGCCGCTGGAGCGCAAAGCACAACAACTAAATGCCCCTCTATCTCCATCTCGGCTCTCATTCCCCCCTCTCTCATTCCCCCCATTATTACCACTATTCTTCCCTTTACAACACCCCCTCACCCTCTCTCTTCCATTATCTTCCGCCTTTCTCGAACATTACCTGAGTAGGTTGTTTCAGTGTTCAGTAAGCCGCCTTCTCAGTCCCTCCTCAGCTTGGTGCTTTATTCCTGCAGTCACCGACCGTGCTGTGACGACAGAGGACAAATAGGGGAATCTGGCCAACTGACATCGCGTGCATGCGCAGGTTATCCACTAGCCCACTCCCCATCTCAACTCTAGAACTATAATCTACCATGTCGGTAAGTACATTTGTCTCTTCGTTGGCTCTACTCCGAACTAATTTGGTTCCTTCACTCTCTTCTAGCTCGCATCTGGGTATGTTGATACTTTGCTCCGTCGGGAGTGGTGGGGAGCTCGGTGGACTCCGGGACCAGGCTGACATGTCCGTGCCTCAACAGTGTTTCCATCACGGATGAGTGCATCACTGCATTCAACGACTTCCGCATGAGCGGAGGTGCCAAGGGAAACAAGACCAAGTTCATCATCTTCAAGATCGCCGACAACAAGAAGGAAGTCGTCGTCGACGAGGCCTCCCAGGACGAGGACTACGAGGTCTTCCGTAGCAAGCTCGAAGCCGCTAAGGACAGCAACGGTCGGCCCGCTCCTCGTTACGCCGTCTACGATGTGGAATACGACCTCGGCGGTGGTGAGGGCAAGAGGTACGATGATCGCTTGCGCTCTTCGCGGGTCTCCGTCGGAAGTACAGTCTTGCTAACCTTCTCTTCCCTCGAAACAGAAGCAAGATCATCTTCATCTCTTGGGTCCCCAGTGAAACCCCCACTCTCGTATGTTCTCTTTCGTGACTTATTTCTTGTGACCTTCGGAATTTCCAGTGCTGACGCTGTTTCGCTAGTGGTCTATGATTTACGCCAGCACCCGTGAAAACTTGAAGAACGCCCTCAACATCCACACCTCCATCCACGCTGACGACAAGTCCGACATTGAGTGGAAGACCGTCCTGGCCGAGGCCAGCGGTGGCAAGGCTGGCAAATAAATGACGGTGCCGGCTGGGTCCGGGCCAGGGTAAGTATGCTGGTTGTTGCATCGCAACGCATCATCTCGAATCGCGGCGGAACCAGGAATGAAGCAGCTCTCTCCGAGTCTCCCTGCACAAATCTAGTTCAATATGAGATCGTTACGACCTGACCCTGCTTTGTTCTCTTTCCTATGCATAGTTACCGTATAATCCTCCAAGCGATTCTGGCACACTCTGGGGTTGACCGGCTGGGTAGGATTCGTGCTTGTTTGTTCAGCGTTCGCGTGTACAGAATATGTTGCTGTTGGTCGACATGGAAAAGGACTGATGCAGTGTGTATGAAGTAAATATGCGGAACTACATCCGGGTCATCGAGATTCGGAGATCGTGCTCTCTCCCTCCTCTTGCGATGGCGTTGTAGAGTTGGGAAGTGATCTTGTAGGATCTCAAGGTCGACTGACGTAGCTACCTATCTTGAGTGTGTGGAAGAGAGGGGAATTTCCAGTTCCCTTCAATTCTGGCATTTCACGACACGAAGATGTCGGTACTATAGTATTCAGTAGTTTGAACTTGCACTGGAGCGCCAAGCCAAGGAATAATCATGATCACGGGCGACACCCCTTATCAAGATCATGGGCATCGTCTGATGTTCTTGGGGGACAAGAGGGATTCAGTCAGACGGGCAAAGGCGGACGGGCGGTCGGGACGGGTTTTGGTAATAGGCCAATGAGAGTGGTGGTAAAATGGACTAAGCTAGCCTGTCCGGATACTCGACTTTCCACCTCAAACCACAGATCATCGAACGTCGTCTTCCCCCCCCCATCGCGACTCTTTCGTCACCCCTTCACTCCACCACCCCCAACGTCCACCATCCTCCTATATCGAGGAATCGCTCCTCTTGCTCCTGGAGAGTTGATTGCTACCATTGATTGATCGCCAGACGCCCCGTCATCCCCCGCACAACATGTTCGCTCAGTCCATCTCTCGGGCCGCTGCTCGCAGCTCGGCCATGCCCACCGCTGCCATTCGCTCCTACCGCACGGCCTCGAGCCCAATGGCTTGCCTGAACGCTCGTCCCCAGGCTGAGAAGCAGACCATTGCTTCCCAGCAGACTCGCGCCGCTTCCGAGCACGCCATCTCGAATCCCACACTCGCCGGTATCGAGAAGCGCTGGGAGGCTATGGCCCCCCAGGAGCAGGCCGACCTGTGGATGCAGCTCAGAGACCGCATGCAGGCTGACTGGCACCAGTTGACCCTCCAGGAGAAGAAGGCCGGTATGTTCTCTCAACCCGCCTGAGATGCTTTTTTTTTTGTTGCTGGCTGGCGCAGGCAGAATTTTGCTGACGGGTTCTGTTCTTCCCCACAATATAGCCTACTTCATCTCTTTCGGTAACCACGGTCCCCGCACTCTGCCCCCCAAGGGTGAGGCCTTCAGAGTCTTCGTCAAGGTCCTCCAGTACTGCTCCATTGGTGTCGGTATCTTCTACGCCGTCCACTACTTCGCCAAGCCCCTCCCCAAGACCATGAGCAAGGAGTGGCAGGAGGCCAGCAACGAATATGCTCTCGTAAGTCCCTCATATGCATTTTGTGGTCTTTCGTACCCTCCTCTTCTCTTCCTGTGAGAGGAGGGGCCCTGATGTATACGAACCATTACTAATCCGGTATTTTCCACCCAACAGCGCGAGAAGATCAACCCCATCTACGGCATCAGCTCCGAGGGTTACGAAGGCAAGGGCTTCGTCCAGAGCCCTCCCGCTGAGAAGCAATAAATTCCCGGATAATTCCTCGGGAATCAAGGTAGAACGCCTGGACGAGTGGCAAGCGACCGCGTTGGCTTGATAGATGGTTAACCCCGACTCCTGCCTGCTTCGATGCGCCCCTCTGATCAAGGCGGATGGGTGACCCTCCATCCAGCTTGGACACCTGCTCTCGCACATGTTTTGTTTGTCAAACGTCAAGCCTAAAAAGACCCCTCTGTACCTCGTACTGTGCCATAATCAATGTATCTCCTTTGTAGCCTTAGATCGGGGTTTTTTTCGGTTCCCTTTTGGTTTTGGTTTTGATGTGTGTAAGGTACAGTACCTGTGCTAGTGCCATAAGGTTGTCCAATTGCTGAAGAAATTCTTTCATATAAAGCTGGAGAGGTTTTATGTCCAGATGTGTATACTGTCCCCCCGGGTGAACCAGACCCGGTATCAGATTTCGGGGAAGACGGCTACTTACTAGCTGGGTTGGTAGGTGCTCTGAGCTACTACTCTCCAGTAATGTAAAATGTGTGCGGCTCTTTTTGGAAACGTCATTGTTACAACAAGACCGGTACACGTACTGAGTACTCCGTACAAGGCTAAGCGATATTTTGTCGGGAGCAATTGAGTTTTTTTTCCCCAGCCTCATCCAACTATCGGTCTAGGTTGCTAGGAAACTACGACGGAGCTCAATTGTCTCCCCTCCTCGGTACGTGTCGATTGTGAAGATCGAGCTTTCGAGACACCGCTAGACCGACGAGCTTGGGGCCAAGGGACTGAGGGAGAAGAGCCTGGGGGGATTGATTGAAAAGGAAAACCGGAATGGGAAATCACGGGAACACGTCAGATTTTTTTTTCGTTGCGGTTGCGGTTGGTCCGATACCGTCGCTTGTTTTCTGTATGTATGGATTGTATGGATGGATGCAATGCATGTCTGGATGTTGTCGGAGCAACCACTTGCTTCTAGGCACGTGTAGGGGAGGGTTTGGGTGTGATGGGAATGAATGAAGGTGGTATATGTAGATGACTGAACTGAGAGCACTATTTGTAGGGAAGAATCATGCTTATTGGTATTAAACATCAAGTAGGAAGTATATATCCATCATTAAAGGGCAAGTTACGAAAGAGGCGGGGGTTCCAGTTGGTGTAAATATCCGGGCTGGGCTGGTGCCAAGTCCGATCCCCCATTTACACTGTGTGCGAAACTGCCATGATGGGTTTGGATTGTTACTCCGACAGGGCAAGGGTTGAGTTGGTTCTGGTTGCCAGGTGTGTAGCTGGACTACTCGGACAGACGGGAAGAGCAATGAGCATGAGCATGTGAGTAAGTTAGTTTACTGTGTAGGTAGGGAAAAGAGGAGAAGGAGGAAAAGGATTAGCCTGAATGGACCAGGTAACTTAAGGTACATTGTACTCGGTACCTTCGTGTATAGTATACATCGGAGCTCCTTTGCCGTCTCTACTGCATGCATGCATGCATGCATGCATGGGAGGCAAGTAGGTAAGTAGGTAAGTAACAATACCGGTCCAATACACACTGTACTGTACAACTGGCCAGAAAACACACACAACAGCGCGTTGCTCGGTACATCACGGGATCGTCGGCAAAACCGCCCCGGAAAGGCTAAGCCGGACACACTCGGCCAAGCGTAGGTTCCACCTCAACTGAACCTGACCTCCTCTCTCAACCTCTTCCCTTCCCTTTTCCTCTCTTTCCCTCTCTCTTTTCCCTTCCCCCATCCTCCCCTTTGACCTCCCTCTATACCCATTTCGCTCTTCAACACCATCATCATGTTCAAGAGGTATACTACTCCAGACCCTATCCATATCCCCCAGCTTAAACCTTCCCCCCATCCCCCACTATTACTTTTCTTTTTCATATTGTTGTTCTTCCTTTGATTGATCAAAGAACTTTGAACTAACCTTGGCTTGTTCTTCTCCCCCAGCGGTCTTGCCCGGACCTTCGGGAGGGCTGCTTTTGCTCGGCCTACCCCCGTTGCCCGTCGCGCTTTCCAGCCCAAGACCAACGGTCTTCCCTCCCTTGCCCGTCTGGCCAGCACTGAGGCTGCCTCCGTTGGCAAGATTCACCAGGTCATCGGTGCCGTCGTTGACGGTATGTTCAACTCTGCTCCCTGCCTTCCCGCCTGCCGAAAAAAAAAAACCCTGCCGGCGGCTACGCGAAAATCTTTTCCGACCGCGATACCATCCCCAATTCCATCAAAAACGACTCAATGGCCATCAAAGATTACCATATCTGACTCTCGACTACAGTTAAGTTCGACGGCGAGAAGCTCCCCGCCATTCTCAACGCCATTGAGACCGAGAACAACGGCCAGAAGCTCGTGCTTGAGGTTGCTGTATGTCCACCACCACTACCTTTCAGCTCGACATTACATCAAAGCTTGGATAGCTAACCCCAGCATCAGCAACACTTGGGTGAGAATGTCGTTCGTACTATTGCCATGGACGGTAAGCTTCACCTACCCTACACCAGCCACCATGGAGAGATCTCGACACCCGGCCTCCTCCGTCGTTATCCCTTCCAATGCGTGGTTTCGGTGTCAACAACTGTCGTGCTGGTACCCTAACGCGTCTGTTTCCAGGTACCGAGGGTCTGACCCGTGGTGCTGCCGCCCATGACACTGGTGCTCCCATCACCATCCCCGTCGGCCCTGGCACTCTCGGCCGTATCGTCAACGTCACTGGTGACCCCATTGACGAGCGTGGTCCCATCAAGGCCGACAAGTTCCGTCCCATCCACACTGAGGCCCCTGCCTTCACTGAGCAGTCCACCACTGCCGAGATTCTCGTCACTGGTATCAAGGTCGTCGATCTCCTTGCCCCCTACGCCCGTGGTGGTAAGATTGGTCTCTTCGGTGGTGCCGGTGTCGGTAAGACCGTCTTCATCCAGGAGTTGATCGTAAGTTATTGTCTGGCCTCGAATCTCGCCAGTCAACGGGGACTAATCCACCTTGCAGAACAACATCGCCAAGGCTCACGGTGGTTACTCCGTCTTCACCGGTGTCGGTGAGCGTACTCGTGAGGGTAACGATCTGTACCACGAAATGCAGGAGACCGGTGTCATCCAGCTCGAGGGTGAATCCAAGGTCGCCCTTGTGTTCGGTCAGATGAACGAGCCCCCAGGTGCCCGTGCCCGTGTCGCCCTTACCGGTCTGACCATCGCCGAGTACTTCCGTGACGAGGAGGGTCAGGATGTGCTGCTCTTCATTGACAACATTTTCCGTTTCACCCAGGCCGGTTCTGAGGTGTCTGCCCTTCTGGGTCGTATCCCCTCTGCCGTCGGTTACCAGCCCACTCTGGCCGTCGACATGGGTGGTATGCAGGAGCGTATTACCACCACCACCAAGGGTTCCATTACCTCCGTCCAGGCCGTCTACGTGCCCGCTGACGATTTGACTGACCCTGCCCCCGCCACCACCTTCGCTCACTTGGACGCCACCACTGTCTTGTCCCGTGGTATCTCTGAGTTGGGTATCTACCCTGCCGTCGACCCTCTCGACTCCAAGTCCCGTATGCTCGACCCCCGTATTGTCGGTCAGGACCACTACGACACCGCCACCCGTGTCCAGCAGATGCTCCAGGAGTACAAGTCCCTCCAGGATATCATTGCCATTCTGGGTATGGACGAACTGTCTGAG